CCTCCTCCTCCTTCATCAAGTCAAAAGATCAACAAGTCATGCTGGTAGCCATTAATCTTGCAGATGGCAAAGGCTCTTAATTACTGGAGACTCCCAGCATCCCAAGGAGCTGTTGAGGCGAAGAAGCCTAAAACCTCAGCTCTAAAAGCTACGCAATTAAGCTGAACCCGAAACCCAAAGAACCTTAAACCGTACGCCCGAAACCCTAGTGTAGTCTGAAGCCCCATATCTCAAACCAGCCTAAACTGAAAGCCTAAACCTAAGTCCACACCTCAAGCACAAACCCAGGCTTCATAGAAGGCCGTAGACCACATACTAACAGGAATAGTAAGAAAAATGTGGCAATAGCAATAGCAAAAAAAAACCACAATGAATTGGGTTTTGTCCCCACTCACTGAGAGTTGGATATAATTGTGATAGCCTGGTCCTGACAAGGTTGGGGATGTGCAGAAAGTAAAAAGTGAGTTTGGTGGTGAGTTTGGTAGTGAGTTTGGTAGTGTCTTTGGGAACGTAGTCCGTTTGAGAGTGAGTTTGGTAGTGTGTTTTTGAGTGTGTGTTGGTAGTGTGCTTGGAGTGTGTTTGGGCATGTAGTCCGTGTAGGAGTGTGTTTTAAGTGGGTTTGGGAGTGTGTTTGGTTTTGTGTTTGGAGTGTGTTTGGGAATGTAGTCCGTTTGGAGGCCCCAGACGGACCCCCAAACACACTCCAAACACACTGCCAAACAGACTCCCAAACTCACTTAACACACACTCACACACTCCCAAAGGGGCTACATTCCCAAACACACTCCCAACACACTACCAAACTCATTCCGAAACTCACTTAGGACACATTTCCAAACGGACTACATTGCCAAACAAACTCCCAAACACATTACCAAACTCACTACCAAACTCATGTTTTTCATTTTCCCGGTTTTCCAGAGTTAACAGGCTACAGATTTTCACAAGGATAGAACTACAATAGAAGTATATATAGCCCTTAGTATTACCCCTAGAAGAGACTGTTGATGTCCGGGGCAGGACCCAGATTAGAGCAATCATAATACTGCTAAGGGTAGTTCCTAAAATAGGGGGACCCAAATGCTACAATCCTTCTTCTGGGGACCCCCCCCCAAAAAACATGGTACTAATTTTGGGAACTCCCCAAATAGTGCTTGTACCAGCCTTGTTTCAAGGCCAAAAAACAAAGCAGCTTCGTGGAGATCTGAGGCAGACATGGAGGGGCAAAAGGACATGCATAGGGGCTACACTAACCCCCAAGCCCTAAACCCTTAAACCTTAAACCCATAAACCCTTAAACCCCTAAACTCTTAATGCCTAAGCCCTGAACCCTCTCCTCGTTTAAAGAGAATTAGGAGTTTTGATTCAGGGCTCAGAGCTCAGATTTTCGGGATTTAAATTCAGCGTTTATGGAGAGGGACTCTAGGGTTTCTCCAACTAGGGCATCACAGGGGACCGTAGGGACAGATGTGGTGTCAAAAAGGGACTTCAGCCCCTGTGAAGGACTGTTTAGGGGTCGTATGAGACATGTCCGCATGACCGGCATGAGTTCACCCATAATCCTCTATATAATCCCAGTTTCCATTTCATTTTCCATTTTCTTTTCCATTTGATTCTCCATTGTTGGGGTAATTGGGGACCCTAAACCCTAAACAGCTTACAGAGATTGCAGGTTGGGCTTCGGGGCCACAGGGGCTGAGGCCTTTTGGGGGTTTGGGGGGTTTGGGTTCTGCAGGATTTGAGGACTATTGGGCTCGGGCGTTTGGGATTAAATAGGGTTTCGCTGGATTTAGGATCTATAGGGCTTCGAGTTTATTCTCCACGCTTCCAGCTCTCAACCCTCAGTGCAGCTCCTAGCTTCCCTAAATCTTGTCAGGCGTGTCAGACGAACGATGAAGACTTGGGCTCTACAAGTGAGCCTGAGTAGGGTGATCTGCCCTTATTCTTCCTGGGTACCCAGTAGTGCATCAAGAGGCGGATTATTCGGAGACTTGCTTAGAGTGACATATCCCCTTCCCAAACAACGTGCCCACCTCCCATAAATAATGAAATTTCCTTGAGTAGTGTAGAAGCCTGGGGCCCCGACAGTCTCCAAAAATATTGCTTCGCAGTCCAGCCATAGTGATGATACACTGGACCTATGGGCTATTAGACCTTAAGGGTACCTTGATCTACCCTTAATGGGGTCCTAATTGGGAATTTTAGGGTCTAATAGCCCATAGTGGAAAGCTCTATTGCAATAATGTGAGCTGGTTCGAAACCTACAGTACCGACATGGAATGCTGGGAGCATTTCTTTGCTGGGGCAAGGTCTCGTCTAAACGCGAGTTCCCGAATAGAAAATCTGTGGCCCAAAGCCCTAAACCCTAAACCCTCAAGTTTAGGGTTTAGGGCCTAAATCCTAAACCGCGAGTCCTTCAGTCACTCCTGGGTACAAGGGAGTAATTCGTGGAGCTGGGTGTGTGTTGCAAGGATGCGATCCTGCCTGCTGCATAGGATCTGTGGGCTTACTAAGAAGTGATTGAACGACTCATTTGAACTATAGT